CCTCCGGCTTTATATGTGGCTGATCCATCTCGTTTTATAATCTCTCCGGGAATCCAGCTGAGCAATCCGTTGCGAAAATGGCGTACACAAACATGATCTCCTGTCTTCGAATTTTACTGGCCTGTGATTCTGAAATATTTTGTGCCCTCTGAATCATGACGTTGAGAACCAGCCGCACTCGTCGGCCGGGGACTTCTGTTCTCGGGTAGCTGGGTTGGGAGTCGAGCGGTAAATGAAAAGAAATGCGTGAATGAACTTTTGTGGTTTAGCCCCCCCCCCCCCCNACCCCTCTTCTCCCCTGTGACCCGATCAGAAAACGTTTGAACGTGTCAATGAATCGTTCCACTTGACCGTTCGATTTCGAGTGATACATTAACAGAACGCGTACTGCATCAACTCAACCACCCTTGCCGTTCTGTGTTGACTTTATCTCAAAATGATCACCTCAGGGAACATCACTAAAGTTCAGGACCCAGCACAGCCACCGTGATCGCCTGGATCACTCGTTTGCAGTCAGAGCGTGCGATGTATGGGATTCTCCTCTATCCCATGTAGTGTGTGCTCCCACAGTTAAACTATTTGAATCGCAACTTGATAAAGCATTGGGACACTCAGCATTTCGACATCCGTGAATGGTCGTGCACATTATTATTATTGTGCTTTTATAAGGTTGTCCAAAAAGGTCCCTAAAAATCCTGAGACATGATAAGCTTTAGCTCTATTAAATCGCCCACAATAAAACTTTAACTTTGCAGCACGCACATGGTAGATGTTATTTGATGAACAGAACACGCCGCATTGTGGAGATGTAAACTGTGGACCGTTATCTGAAAAATAGCACTTTCGGCATGCGGAAATGGGCAAATAATCTTCTAAGTTTTGTTTTCACGGTATGTGTGGTTACAACACGCATCGGAAAAAAATCGAGCCACTTGGAATATGAATCAACAATTATTAGGTAGTATATTCCTTCTACAGGGCCGATAAAATCCACGTACATGCGTGACCAGGGCGCCGTGGTGGGTTGCAATACATAATTGAGTTCCGACCTTATGTGGTAGTTTAGTTGCCATTGGAGAATTGTGGCATGTCTTAACTACTTGTTCAATTTACTGATTCATGAATGGCCCTTTGAATCGCCCTTGTTTTACCGCATAAACCAGGAACATCAGAAAATCTACTGGGGACAACATTCATGTTTTCACATTTTACTACCGCACAATCGATCAGCTAGGTTGTCTGTGAGAGAGACTCGGTGTCAGAACAATCACAAATTTCATTGAAGGGGAATTACCACAAATCCAATTCATCCATTCAGCCCTCTCGATGACCATTAATACTCTTGTTACTTACATACTTGGAACTCTGAGCGATATGCCGTGTAATTTGTTTTTCACACGTATGAAAGTGATCCATGGCAAACCATGTTTCATTCATTCTGCATCGGCTTATTCTGTTCTCTCTTTCTCACTAGATTGTAAAATACCATTACTTGTTCCATAATGTTCACTGTTGTCCAATGAATTCGTTTTATACCGGGAAACCATGTCGCAACCCACCCCCACCCCCCAGTTTGTCAGATGCATGCGTGGATTGTGCTACACCGTGCGTTCACTAAATCGCAATGGTAGACCAGTTCGCCAGTACCCCATATGTACTTCTTTATCCCATTAGGTTTTTCATTAAAACCCTCCCTTCTCTAAGTGCGTTGCTGTTTTGGTAGGTGGACTCACATTCGAAGGGCACCATTCGTACTTGCCTAACCACAAACACCTTAATTCCATTTCCGTTTTTCAATTCCAGATATTTTTTCAAAAAATTCTCAAACGAATTCGGTTCCGGGGTTGTGCATCAGGAAATCACCAATGACAACTGTGTACTTCCGTTATGGGAAGGCAAAGTGGTGGCCAAAGTGGAACGCATTGAATAGTGCGTGTTCTATTCGGGATTCGTTTTATTGACTGAATTCACCTTCTCCTCTGGATCCGTAACTTGTTCAGTGTCTTACGCGTACCCCGCGGCCTGAATTGGTGAGTGGAGGCTTTCCGTCCCCGCCAAGGTATCACCGCCGACACGACTACCTGTACCGGTATCGCGTTCAATTCGAATTATCCCGTGATTTTATCTTTTTCCCTAACCCTTGTTACCTCACTACAACTCCCTTTCTAAATCTCCTCCCCGTGGAATTTTATCGATGGTCACCACTGCTGCTGTTCTTGTTGCTCTCTTTGTCATAGTCTCCCATCATTGTTGTCGTGTAAAAATGACGATGACGTTTGTTCCCGGCTCCATTCTGGTCTCGATTTTGTTTTCCTTGTCCGACCTGTTTAAATTCATTTTTCAAAAACCTGCTGGTGATTTCAATGTATCTATCTATCTATTCACGCCTTCGGCTAGGTCCATGTTCCCCAGTCGCTTTCTTTCGTTCGGTGTTCCCCGCTCGCTGCCATCATTGCCTTTCTGTCCTTCTGATCTTCAGCCTCTATGCTTTCCCTTGCTTTCGATCATTGTCATCTTTACTCCCCCGTCGCACCCACGCCAACCGCAAATGGCAACTGTGTCTCTTTGATATCTTTCCGCCGTCCATAACCTATGCAAATGAGATTTTTGGATTGCCACACCTCTGTTTTTGACTGGTTTGTGCCTTAACACACACGTAAACGAATGCTTTCTCCTCACACACACACACACACACCCCACCCCCGGTATGCGTAGAACTCTCTATGAGCTTATCTGCTCAAATTTCCCTCGTCACTTTCAAATCGTTTTTTTTGTGTGTGCAATTGAATCGACGGGCTAAACAGGGTAAATAGTCATTTTCGGAGTGGATTTGTGTGTGAGAGAGTGCTCTTACAAATACACATAC